TTCCTACACAAAAGCCACATAATTTGTATATTACACAAATGTTTTCACAAATTGACAGTTCTATGAGCAAAAGGTGTCAAAAGTGCAGAATCACTCCAGCATCCCCTTAATTGGCGTCGCAGTCCGCTGACAAACGCGCCTCGTAACGAGACGAGCACGCGCGTGGTGCGGCGGAACGCGTCGATGGCACGCGGCGCGGCCGCTCCACCCCTCCCCTCCTCCCTCCTGGACGTCGCGGCGTCAATTGTCGCGACACCCGTGCCCGAGACCACAGGTGGATCCGCTCGGAGAGCAGGGACCGTCTCGATCTCTGGCTTACGCCTGAGTCTGGCCTGCAACGTTGAATCGACAAAAATTGTTGTTCCGTCCCGAGCTAGTTCTATATTCGATTTTAATATCGAACTAATATTATTTCTCGGATATTGTGTTTCCTCCCCTCTTTGTTTCTGGCCCTTGAATGCGGTATCTGCGACCGTTTCTCCCCCTAACTTGCTACTCAATTCGTGTTCCGCGTCATCTCGCGCGCGGAAAATAAATGATGTTGCGCGGCGACAACGTTAGCCTAGTGGAAAATAATCCTGTCGATTCAATAATGGTGAGCTAATAAAGCAAATAGCATTTTATTCAGACAAGAGCGCGGCTCTTTTATCAAGACGAAAGTGTCCAATCAACAAGATCATTTTTAGATCAGACCGTCAGCCAATATACTATTAACACAGCATCCGCGCGTCTTTTCGTGTATTGTACGTCGCCTAATAACATATCGCTTTCGCCCGAATGCAAAGTCAGAAATTGCTCCGCCACTTGGTCGATCCGATTTGTATCATTTTGCACCTCTCGCAATGCTGTTCGCGCATACACCACGTATTCTCTGCACCTCTAGCCTGGATACATAAAAGTCTAACGACGAGTCCCATAATCTCCCCGATGCCGAGATTTCGCGGTAATGTCTCTGGGTATCGGCGCCGGGCTCGCTACTCAAGAGAGTACAAAGAGGAGACTCGGCAGTTTCTTCCTTTCTAAATGGCCATCCCTAATCTAGCGCACGACGGGCGCGCACACGCGTACACACGTACAAGCCACAGAGCACAGCCGGGATCGCGGGTGGGCGCTCTCTCTCTCTCTCTCTCTCTCTCTCTCCCTGGAATCGCGGCGAACATCACGCAAGCGCGGCATTATGCCGGGACGATCAAGAACCGACGGAACACTTATCCCCGCAAACGCTTATTGATTGTGACGCGCGCCCCGTCGCGTCTCGCTCTCTCGCGCCGTCCGTCTCTCCATCTCTCCCTCCCACCCGCCTGCCCACCCACCGACGACGCTTCTCGCCGTGGCATGGCACGCACGTGACGGGGAGACACCGTCAATCTTGGTGGTTAATTTAGATTTTAATCTAGATTTCGCCAAGTCGCGCGCGCGAGTCTCCTCTCGCCCTCTCGTGTCGCCCTTCCGCCCGGCGAACGGCGGCCTCTCGCGCGCCGATGACGGGGCGGAAATTTAATTCGCAGAAATACGCGAAATGCGAAGCGCAGCGAGAGACGCATGGCAGTGCAACACGGCCCCACGCACCCGCGGCTGCTCGATCTAGTTTGCGCGTGTCACGCGATTCCCGACACGTTCGAGCGGTGATTGCGCCTCGCGGCGGGGACAGAGTTTTACGGTACGCGCGGCGGTCGATCGAGATCTCCTCGAGTAGCCGCCGAGCGCGTGCGGCGACATCGATTGCATTCCTCCGGGGTTTCCCCGTTCAGCCGCGAGGATAACAATTAAATTAATAAACGCGCCAGGTTGCGCAATCCTGGCGGAAAACGGATAGACCTGAGCGCGTGAGTAAGCGCGAGTCGCTGACTCAGAAGGCACACGTCGATAATCAAACGTCGCCTCCGCCGCGGTGACTAACGCATCAAGAACGACGATTTTAGTGACTTGCACGTTGCCGGAGTCTTTTAATCGCCCGGCAACGTCTCGATCATCGCAGAGGACGGCACCTTTGCGAGGGTCGCCGCGAAGAGGAGTGTCCTCTGGACTACAAAAATGACAACAAAGTGCGTGCGCGCCCTGCGACAGGACGCGTACGCACATGATTAGACGATCGGCGGGGCATCGATGCACCGAGGAGGGCAGGGAGGTGAATCGGAATGGGAAACGGGAATAGCTTCCCGTTCGGGGCGCCTTTACTGCCCCAGTTCCGGCTGCCTCGCGCCTCCGGTGCGGGGGAGGCGCGGCGTCGACGGGGGTGTGACGGGGCTCGCTCGCGACTTGCGCGGGAGCTCGCGGGGTGTCGAGGTCGTCGCCGCAGCCACCGCCACCGCCGCCGCCGCCGCCGCCGCTGCTGCCGCTGCCGCCGCCGCCGCGCGACTAAGACCCCCGACGAGCAAATTAACAATCGTTACGTACACGTAGATATCGGTAAGCGTCATTTTCGCACCCCCTCCCGACAGGCGAGCCTCGCACCCCCGGGCGCTGCGCGCCCGTAACGCACGCCCCTCCCCTCCCGCCCGGCCCACTTTTCCCCGTTGTCCATCCGGCGGGTAACCCCAGAGCTTCTGTGCGGGCGGCCCGCTCCCGACGTCGCGCGAGCGGGGCTGCCGCATGCGGGGTGGTGTGCGCATGTGCGCCGAGTATAGACCCGCGCGTTCCGCCAGTCGGCGGGCGAAACGCACCGGCGGCTTACATATATGCGGCTCTGCTCTATATACGTATACGGGATGTCTCGGAAAAACCGTACGCGTCCCGCCCGACGATCGTCGGGGCCGATCTAGGAATCTTTTGCCGCCGCGGGGGACACCGGGTGTGTCCTTCGAGAGGTGTGCGCGAGCGAGAAGGGGGACCTCTCGCGAAATTCGTCCGGGGGACTTGATCCTCCAGCTAATATTCTATCGACCGATATCTTTCGCAAAGTCGTATCTCGATTCTACGCAATTTCCGCTTCTTTTTTTTTCTTTTTGCTTCAACGTTCATTCTGGTCCAGAGTGCGCAGAATTGCGTAAATCGAGAGATCTTGCGAAAGAGATCAGTCGACGTGTCTTTACGGATGCGTGCGTATACAATAGAGTGCCTATCGACTGATCTCTTTCGCAAGGTCGATCTCGACTTTACGCAATTTTCTGGTCCAGAACGAGCGTTTAAGCGCACGAACCAGAAAGTGCGTAAAATCGAGATACGACCGCGCGAAAGAGATGAGTCGCTACGTCCCCCTATCGATACTTCCTAATATTAATATTCCCTAAGCCCTTTGACCGATCTGGACCAAATGCCGCATAATTACTCTCTCCCGGATCCCGCGGAAACTCCGCCCCTCGACGCTTCCGTGCAAGACCGGGTAATTGAAATATAAGCGGCATCCAATCAAGAATTATACAATTTAATTATTTGGATATATTTTATTAGGGGAAAAAAAACATTTTTATCTTCTCCGCAAAAGTAATGGTTCGCATTACATTGCGCCAACTAAATTGGATATTCATACAAACTAGATACTTTGTTATTCAAAAATGTTCGACGCTTCCGCGCAGGACCGGGCGATTGAAGCTGGTACGCGTGACGCTGATAAATTTGAGTACCCTCGCCCGAGGAAAAAAATTGTACCCGAGGCCGGCGAGGGGACACGGGGCGTCAGGTCCGTCAGATGTATCTGGGACACCCCGTATGGATGTTTGTCATTATTATAGCCCATTAAATTATCTCGCACACGCCGACCCCTCCCACGGCCTGCCCCCCCCCCCCGACCCCACGGTGCGCACGAATGCACTCGCGGCTCCCAGCCGGGCCAGGCCGCGGCGCGGACTCTCGCATGTGCGCGCCCTGCTCCCTGCTATCTATCTCCCTATATCCCTCTCCGGCTCGATAGCCCGCCACCGCTGCTGCTCTCCGAGCGGCAGCACGTCAATAACCCGTTGCCGCAGCGGCAGCGCGTACGTACGGTACGTACGTGTGCATAACGCGCGTCTCCCGCGAAGACGGCGCGACCCGTCACGGGGGGCACACGCCACGCGCGCGCGGGAGGGATTTTATTTTCTCCCCCCCCCTCCCACCCCCGATCCTCCGCCACCCCCTGTGCGAAACGTCGCGATCGGCAATCCAGACGCTGGTATCGGCAAAATGCCCCCCCCCCCCCGGGCCAGACTTCCCGCGTCGGCGAATTTACTTGACTGCAATGTTAGTAGAGCGGGCCGTGCGTATGTGTGTACCGTTGTCAAACGACCTCTCTTTTACGGTACATTTGCAAACGAGCACGGTCGTGCAAAATTCAGACGTCTCTCGTGATAAATGAAAATGGGTTCGGGAGGAAAAATCCGCGGAGGGGGGGGGAGGGGGGGGGAGAGAATCGAAACGCGCGCGATATTTTTTACGCGGCGCTGCAGGGATGATGCGGAACGAGCGGGCGAAAAATTCTGACAGCCGGAAATTGCTAACGTAGCGAATTATTGAACCGTGACTCGCACATACAAACAGAGAAAAAGTAGAGAGGGGGAAAAAGGGGGGGAGAGAGAGAGAGAGAGACGGGGAGAAAGGGAGCAGAGTGCTGTGCGCGCGCGACGCGAAAGAGCGACGAGGAGGAAAACAATGGAAAATGCATTCGAAAGTCGCCCGGCCGTGCGTACGTGTACGCGAAATGTATCGAGACGTGCGCACCGGCATAAATTGGCAAAAGCGATTTATCGAAACTGCGGACGGGTTCGGCGGATCCGTATATTTCGTGACACGAACGCAATAAAAGGACAATATATTGCGTTCCGCCTGGATGTACATACTGGGTGATGTATCACCAGGGGATTTCTTGACGTGGCATTTCTAGAAATTTCCGACGAGCGAAACGCTTAGCGCATTAACGCGGATACGCTTGAATTTTCGGAAAAGGAGAGGACACTCGACTTTGGGGATTTTTCGTTTCAGACGTGACACACGCGAGAAAAACCGCATGCGGTTAAAGGCAATCGTGTCTCTGGGATAAGGCGATTGGTAGGATGTTGGACGAAACTGGGTTGGTCGCGACTCACCTGCGATGTTGTGCTGATGATGGTTATAAGTAAGAGGAACCGAGTGCAGTGCTCTGGCCGACCATTTCCGATGCCTGGAGTCCTCATCGTCGTCATCAGCTTGCTGGCCGTCCTCGCCTAGGAAGTGGACTTTCTCGTACCTGTCCAGATACCTGGAACGCACGACGTGCTTTAATGTTTACGCGTGATTGGCGTTTTGCTTCATCGCCCCGCTAAATAACAATCGCATAATTGCAGTTCTCCCTTTTGACGACGCTCAAAGAATTAAAGTCCGTGTCAGACTACGCGCTGCGGGTTGAGGATTGCGAATTAGAACTCGACCAATCGGGGCAAAACGGGTTAAAAATGTCGCCCGAGCGGTCCAGTTCTAATCTTCAGTTCGCAATGCTCAATTTTCAGCGCGTATAGTGCAATGTGAGCTTAATCTTACTCTAAGATTGACAATCCGAATAAAATCAAGGTGATTCGTTTCTTGCCTCCAAACAGCTCGAGGATGGAATTCAATAACGCGCCACAGAACCGCGGTACGAACAGGATGGTATCGTACCGTCGGATGATTACGTCGCGCAAGAACTGAATCGAGCGGTCTCGGCGCGAGACCCAGATCGGGCTCGGCCTACCTAGGTTCTAAGGGATCGACTGCGGCGACCGATGCCTCATCTCGGCCGCTTCTCGCGGCTCGTCGGAATCGACTGACGCTTCCGGAGAACCGGTCGACCCGCGGCGGTATCAACACGTGGCCGCGGCGAGTTTCTCTAGCTGGAGAACGCACGACTCGGAGCGGCGCAAAGGCCGATGGAAGAAACTCTTCGAGGCGACCGAGAGACCGACCGACCGACCGACCGCCGGCCGTCGAAAGTGCGACGAACTCGCGCGATGCTTGCGCGAACAGGGTAGATGCGAGAGAGTGAGTGAGTGAGTGAGCAAGGAGAGTGAGAGAGAGAGAGAGAGAGAGAGAGAGAGAGAGAGAGAGAGAGAGAGAGAGAGAGAGAGAGAGAGAGAGAGAGAGAGAGAGAGAGAGAGAGAGAGAGAGAGAGAGAGAGAGAGAGAGAGAGAGAGAGAGA